ATGACGCAGCCCGGACGCGCCCCGACAAGGTCGCTCCTCCTGCTTCCCGTTCCTCCCGTCTCCACCTCCTGTGGCTCAGTAAAAACAAGCTCGGTGCTGGCGCAGCGGCTGGCAGGAAGATGATGCATGCAGGAGCAGTGACAAACAAGCATCTGACTTATAGTTCTTATTAACATGTCAGCCCATGGGCATGTGACAAACCCCGCATTAAGGGGCCGCGTGCTAGAGAGAGGATCTGAAAAATGGATTGGTTATTCTTTCACTGGACTCCAGGCACAACATAGTTCACAGGGTGGCTAAACAATGAACTTTCTTAACCTGGAGTGCTAGAAGTATAGTGTTAATGTAGTAGAGTGGTGTGTTTGTATATTGTGTGCTTGGCGCTTCACATAAGGGATTCCTCAAGCCTTGCCAATGCTGTAGCCATAGAAGCAGGAAATGAAAATATTTACACAGAATTGAGGGGAAAGGGAGAGAGCTGTAGTCCATCCTGTACCACACACACTCCAGGAGCAGTGCTTGGAGCTTTGCAGTGTTCTACTACTAGCTTGGAAATACCTACATGACTGGATAAAATCCCCTGACTTCAGAATAAGAACATCCCTGTTATTTTCTTATTTGCCTTATTTTTCTTGGAGATGCCGTCTAGGTAGATATCTCCCAGGACAGTCCCTGAAACTGCTCTGTAGTTGTATCAGCTGTAAATCACTCTTCTACTGATATCTCCCCTGAGGTGATTATTCTGTCTGTATCACCACAGACTGGCCTTTTAAAAAATTCTCAGTGCAGGCACATCCAACCCATGACCCACAGATTGCACGCATCCCGTCCCAGCCTATCCTGCAGCAGACCTCTGTCCTACCAGACAAAAGTATCTTCACTTCCACATCTTACTCATGTCTTTAGTTTTTGGCAGCGCATAGATTTGTGAGCAACTATGTTCAAGGGTGAATTACTGGAAGAGCAAAATTAGATGAAAAACCTTTGATGAACAGCTTGAGAACTCACGAAGAAATGCAACCATCAAACCAGACTGTTAAATTAGTTTCAGAAAGACAAGTTCAAATATCTCTCTGCTTTTATTTTTTGTTGCTCTCTTTTTTAATGTTTTAATGGAAATATTGGGAATAAAGTAAGTTTCGTTACTTGTATACATTAAAAACATTAGGACTGCTCAAAAAGTATTTTGGTCCAGAACATCAGAGTTTGTTGTTGATGGTATGGCAGTTGAGGTTGAATCTTCCTGCCAGTATTTCATTACATTTTGTCACCATGTGACAGATGGCAGCAGGGGGACAGTCTGACAAAATGACATGGAAGTGCACATGAAGCAAAGGTATGTCATTGAAGTGCTCCATGCAGAAAAAATTACACCCATTGACATTCATCTGTGCTTGCTGAACATGGAGACCAAACTGTGGATGTGAGCGCAATGAGGTGTAGGTTTCAGCAGAGGAGATGGAGGCAGTGGGTCACCTTTGCTGGCACAGATTGTTACAAGAGTGGTATGCAGGCTCTTGTTGATTGCTGGTGAAAATTGATAGCTAGTGGTGGTGACTGTTGAAATATAGTGTTTTGTAGCTGAGAATTTGCTCAATCAAATAGTGTCATTGTGCTCTTTTATTGTGCTCTATTTGACTTTCAGTATCCTTATTTTAGCAGAGAAAAATATTTGCTTTACTTCACAGTCCCATTTTATTCATGTCAGTGATTTTTGGCAGTAAACACATTTTGAACAATTATTGTCAAGGATGAAGTACAGGAAGAATAAAATTCAGTCAAAAATCTCTGGTGAATACCTTGAATCCTCACTAAGAATCGCAGCCACTGCCACGGAACCAGACTGGTGTGTCAGTTTCAGAAAAACAAAAGCACAGAATCACAGAATGGTCTGATTTGGAAGGGCCCTCAAGAATCATAAATCTCCAACCCTGCCACAACAGGCAACCTCCCCATTTAATACTAGACCAGGCTGCCCAGGGCCCCATCCAACCTGGCCTTGAACACCTCCAGGGACGGGGCATCCACAACATCTCTGGGCAGCCTGTTCCAGCACCTCACCACTCTCTTGGTAAAGAACTTCCCAATGATATCCAACCTGAATCTTCCCTCAACTTCAACTGAAAACCATTTCCCCTTATCCTGCTGTTACCTAACCTTTCAAAGAGTTGACTCAAATGTCCCACTGGTTTTAAGACTTTGTTCTTTTTCTTTCTAAATTTAAAGAAAAAGTATTTACAGTCAAAATGTTTTTAACTTATATATTAAGAATAGTGTATATTTTATTAGGGCTGCTCCAAAAGTAATGCCTGCTGTTATATTATGTTGACCCGTAACATCAGAGGTGGATGTTGGTGGTATGGCAGTGGAGGCAGAACCTTCCCACCAATATTCCATTGCACTTTTTTTTTTTTGCTGTGTAGGAGGTAGCAGCAGAGGAATCATCTGAGAAAACAGTGTCTGACATAGAAGAGAATATGAAGCAAAGGCGTGTCTTTGAATTCCTCCATGAGGAAGAAATTGCACCCACTTGCTGGATGTTTAAGGAGACTAAACAGTGGTGAGGTGGTGTGTTTCAGCTGTGGTGACAGTGGGTCACCTTCACTTGTTCAGATTTTTACGAGAGCAGCATTAAGGCTCTTGTTTCTTGTGGATGAAAATGAATAGTTAATGGTGGTAGTTATGTTAGTGTGGTGGAAAGTTAGTGTTTTGTAGCTGAGATTTGCTCTGTCAAACAGTGTTATGGAGCTCTTTGTGTCAACCATAATATCCATGGAAATAAATAGGAGGCATTACTTTTGGAGTGACTTACTCAGTGCAAGACAATTTCTATTCACTGAATGTGGCCCAGGCAGGCCAAAAGGTTTGATGCCCATGAGATATGGTGGCTGTTGGTCTGCTTTTACTTTTTTTTTCTTTTTCTTCTTTTACTTTTTTTTTTTCTTTTTCTTCTTTTACTTTTTTTTTTTCTTTTTCTCTTTCTCTTTCTCTTACTCTTTCTCTTTCTCTTTCTCTTTCTCTTTCTCTTTCTCTTTTATTTTATTATATCCTGTGGACTTTGAGTGTTGGATCAGTTGCAAGAGTATTTTCTCTGAATTCACTTATCTGAAATCACTTTAGGAAATCCTTAACAAATGAAGTTGTATCTATCATTATTGTCACATTATTTGATCTCTTGCCAGCAGAAGACCTGTTATACTCAGTCACAATGAAGCATGAGTCAAATGGACGAAGATATGAGCAGACAGAAAAGTATATGAGAGTTAGACAATAGTGGCTCTGCTCGAGGGAAATACACTCAGATCAGCAGGTAATACCCAGCTCTCAGTTCAAGTGACACATTATTTTTTCCTTGAAATGGAGAACAGAGATAGCAAAGGTGATGTGATGCAGAGGAGGGGGAAGGAGTAAAACATTTTGAAACTTCCCTTTTTTATTGCACATCTGATCAAAATTACAAAATTATCATAAAAATTCTTTTAAAATATCCTTTCTTGTGTTACTAGGTTTGGGAAGAATTCTAGCAGTGAGATTGCTCTCCTGTGGAGAACGACTGCCATCTCATGTTAAAAGCACGCGCAGCTCCGGACTTGGCCGGCTGTGTTCTTCAGCAGGAAAAAAGGGGGTGGAGACAGCGCAGGAATGGTATGTTCCAAATGGAAATGTTTGTGAAGGCTTCCAAGAAGTTTCTGGTCTTAATAGGGCCAGACACATTTTCAGCAAATGTCTCTGCTTGCTCAGGACTTTACTCTGAAGTAAACAAGAGACTTCCAGGAAATGTTCTGCAGCGTGATAGAGACATCAGGCTTGAACTCGACTTCAGAGATCAGCTGACGAAATAGGTCACACAACTGGATGTTGCACAAACAGTTATTATTATTTCAAGTGCTACGTAACAGAAGAGACATAACCTTATATGTCACTTATTTATTTTATTCAATTTCATCTATTACTGATGCAATTAACAAATGACTAGGCAATTCAGGAAAAAAAAAATAATGGTGAGCTAGGGAACTGAGACCTGCATTAAATTCTTTTCTTGGATACAAAATTTCTGTGACCAGCCAAAGTCTGGGACACAATCAGAGATCTTCTAGTTGTTCAGTTCTGCTTTATGCTATCCCTGGAGATATCTTACCAACATTCCTTTCTAGATCCCTTGATGATTATAATCTTTCTCTCCTTATCTGAAAAATGGCTGTATTTCACAAGGAGTGTTGCAAACATCAACATGTTAAAGTCTGTGAGGTTTTGGGTAGTACAGCAGGAAGAGCTGTGCAGTCACTTCAGATAGATGTTCAGTCTGTGATCTGTGCATACGTATCAACATTAACATGTAAAGTAATTATTAACTAAGGTAATAAAAATAAAATAAATAATGACTGCTTATTGTTTGGTATCTGATGTTATTCTTCTTTAATGTCTTCAGTTGCAAAACCTGGGGTACAGACAACACCAGTGTAATTCAACTGTCACTTTGAGTATCTAATTGAATTAAACTTTGAATTGAAGTATTAAAATTTGAATTGAAGTAAACTTTTTGCAGTTAGTCCATAGCAGTGCTCATCCAAGCAGTTTGATGAATATCTATTTGTGATTAATCATATCTCTATGGATCAGGAAAGACTCACAAATTATTTGTATCTGAAAAGTGGCTTAAATGTTTTAAATCATCTTCTTTAGACTGATCTGATTTTGACAGCAGTGGTAGGAATAATTAATAAGTGATACAATATGAAGGCAACTAAAACATAATTAAACTTTATTTTAACAACAGAACACTTTGTTTATTTGTTATTGCGCACATCATAGTTTCAATTCAAATACCAGAGCTTATAACTGCTATTTCAGAATTGCTATATATCATATTCAAAACAAGAGTGTACTCCTCTATATATCCTGTAGAGCATTTAGGGAACGGTAAATACTACCAGTGTATGCTATGCTATCTTTCACTTACATGCAGATTGTGTACAGGTAGCCTCTTTTTTTTTTTCTTCTACTGTGAATGGATGGCTGGCGCTTTCCTGGAGTTTGGTTTTAATATTGGTGTAAGACCTTTTCATATTGCTTTTCCTGCTCTGAAAACCTCTGCCATCCCCAGGAAATTTAGGCTGGTGGCAATCAGAATGAGATAGCATCTCCCTGTAGGTATCCAGCACCAGCCTGCAAGGCTCAGCACTTTGATCTTGCTGCATGCTTGGATATGCAATCTGTGAATCTAGTGATGTGTGTGTACAATAAATGGATCCAGGGATTGCCAGTGGTCAGTTATCTCAAGGTGTAAAAAGGAACAATACAAATGCTCTGGAGCTAGAACTATCTGGAATTTTAGTCTCTTTTTTTCCCTTTCTCATTAGACTAAGGGGATTAATCTGATATTCCTAACCCTGACCACAGGAACTACTCTCTGATTTATTTTTTTTTTTCTCTATTCTGAATTTTACTGCCATTCAGTGAACGTAAGCACTAGTGTCCTGCAAAGACTGGCTGGACGTCCTTGTCCTCGGCAGATGTCTGCAGTTTTTCTTTAGTCGCTGGATCCAGGTCTAGCATTTTCTGCCCTGCCCTGGCAACAGTGAACCTGCTTGTGTGTAGAGCTTCATCGTAGACTGGAGGAGTGTCTGATGCTGTCAGGGGTGGCGTGCCCTGCACAGTGTTGTGGGAGTGTGCCACTGCTAGTATCCTCTTGGCGGCTGGCCCAAATACCGAATGGAGAGCTGAAAGGGAGGAAACAGAAGCTATTTCCCTCATCCTGAAAGCACTGTACAATTAAAGTGGGGCAGGTATATTTGTAGTGCACAGGCTTTTCTCTCCCCATGGCCAGAATGTTTTCCTGCCCCTTGGTCCTCCCATAAAGGGAGGAATGAAGCCCCATCAGCAACATCCCATAATTACTCTTTTCTCTAATGCCATCCAGATCTTGCAGCTGCCCTTAGTCCACCCAAACATGTCTTACGAACAGTTCACCATCTGACCATATTTGCTACATAAGGCCTGGTGAATACCTGAATTTATAATATTTACAGATGCCACATTCCCAGCACCCTGCCTAGGACGTCCTTCTGCCAGCCCATTGGAGGACTTCATATGCCTGTCTGGGCATTTTATGGTGCAACCCCCACAGTGGGATGTTGTGAAATGCCCAGTATCTGGCAAAGCCCACTCACATGTAATGGTGCTCTGGAGAGTGCTGTCGTGATCAAAAGCAATGACAGTGACCTCATAGGGTTGAGGACCTGATTCCTCCCCAGCCTGACGGCAGTGAGTAAAACAGCATCTCATGCAGACAGAAACCAAGCCGCACAGCAGCAGCAGTCCACCAATCACAACCACCAGCCTAGAAGAAGAGAGAAAACTGGATATGGACAGAAAGATATTTTTTTTTTTTGAGGGGGCATATTAAAATCTCTCCTTGCTAATGTCAAAGCTAGACACAATTGTTTAGAGCCTTTTTCAATAGAGTTTGACAGTCTCCAGAGAAGGGGATGCCACGTCTCTTTCAAGCACCAGTTCCTGTGTGACATTAACTTGAGGTAAGCATTTTGTCTTTGTCTAACCAGTTTCCCTGCATGCAGTTTGGTCCATGACCTCAGATCCTTTTGCTGTGCACCTCTGAGGAAAATCTGGCTCTATCTTCAATCTAGACCTACCTTAGTGGAAAACATCAGTTGAGTTCCTTTCTCCCTACCTCTTAGCCTCCTCCAGGATGGATAAACCTAGTTCCTCCTCATACATCATGTCCCCTAGCCAGTTTGTTGTATCTACTTGTTGTTGCCCCTGCTTGTCAACATCTCTTTCTAACTGGGGAAACAAAAGTGAGCTAGCTATTCCAGGAGTGTCCTTATGAGTTACAAGTGCAGGGGAAAAATCATAACTCTCAATGTGCTAGCTTCACTCTTACTAATGCAACCTTGTAGATGCCCAACAACTGCAATTCTTTTTAATCTCATACTGAATTTCTAAGGAATCAGAATGAAATTATTTTTAAAAATGGGCCTTTTAAAAGGCATATAATGACACACAGGCTTTATTAATATTATACTTACAACTATACGTGACATTGAAAAAATGCCTGTGATGGCAATTCAGTGTTTGCTGAAGACAACATAATGACTAAGGTGGTGCCTTGCTACTGTAGAGCATTTACAGGGCAGAGAGGTAAAGTGGAGAGTAGCCTCACACTTGAGTGAGTTACAAGATCCCATTTAATCCCACTATTTGCTGCTAGAATTGCCCAGTGATGCACATATTTTAAGTAATCACAAGCCATCTTACCAAATATACCAGAGACGGATCCACTCAGTACCTGAACAGCTGAGGAGAAAGAAATAGTTAGACATAGAACAACAAAATAGGAAGATCTCCCACTGCGTTCTCTGCCAGCTCCCCTCACACTCCAGCTTGTAAGTGGCACAAATGATGAGAAACCCACAGTTCTCATTTTGTATAGGAGACAGTTGTCCAACCTCATCAATCTTCCTGTTAGAAGTGAGTTCTTCTCTTTGGCTTTATCTCTTGTTAACCTGATATTTGAGCTTAACCAAGTGTGTTTTCATGCCTTAGCAATCTATATCATGTACTTTCTAAACTTCCTTACCTTAATATGTTTTTTCACCATTTAGTCTGTCAAATACTATTGTTTTACTGGTTTTTTTTTTCTTCTCCTGAATTTCTTTTTTATTTCTTTCTGGCCCTATACTGTGGGCATATTCTGGATGCTGTGTTGTCTGTTCCTTTTGTTTCAGTCAGCAGACCTTTCCCATGCATTTTTGAAATGTATTTCTTTAATCAAAACAGAATCCTCATTTTTCCTTCCCCCTCTCCCCCCCCCCTTTTTTTTTAAGAGTAGGTAGACTGAACTCAAATTTTTTCTTAATCTCCAGTCTGAACCCTCCCTGAAGCAGATTTGAGCCATTCCTGCATCTCCTTAATTTGTCTTAATTTCTTTTATTCTTACAAATGACATCATCAAGGCAGTATATTTAAAAAAACAAATCTTCAAGGAATGGTCACTTCCAAATTCATAACCTCAGCCAATCAAAATTACGCCAGAATGTTCTTTATCCAAATAGGAAGCAGAAATGGTACTGCAGGAACAGTGTGTTGAAGAGGTAGCAATTAATGCATCTCACCTTGAAAGCAAGGGACATTTTATCTAAGTTTTCAACAGTTACAGTGTTTCTGGAAAATGCCTGCCACCATGTCATAACAGTTACGTCTTTTGTCCTTCATTGTTTTCTTAAAAGAGTGCAATACCTACGAATACTCACAATTCAGCATTGAGACACCCTTCCTCACTTCTTACTTTGGGAAACTAGAAGGAGAAAACAAGATATGCAACCTGTATCTTTGTTACATAGACTGTTAGCAGTCTGAATTTCCTATAAAAATGATTTACTATTATCTTTAATAATTTTCTCGTATATTCTGCTCTAGATTTGAAGTTACTGTGATACCAACCACACCATTTTCACATCTTCACATAGTCAATAAAATCCTACTAAACATTGTTCCCAGTGAAGACCCTAACTTCCTTCAGGCTGATCACAACTTTCCTTTTCCCCACCAAAAACTGTTATGCTACACATATAAATTGTTCTCAGTGCTCAAATATTTGAAGCCCTAAAAACTCCTGTTACATATTACACTCCTACGCTTCCTGTTCTGCCTTGGTACCTTGATTTCTGTGTTACCATCCCTGGAATTACAGCAAGTATTCTGTCTCCATGCCTATGCCAAACTCTTTCTAGTATTGCACAAATTCCTGTTATCATCAGTTGCTAACACTCCTCCAGCTTTCCCACATAACTTCACAGCATGCACCGTGTTAAAAAGAACTTGATGTGACTTACCCATAAGAAAAATCCTAAAACAAAGCAGATAATGACTGAGTTATGCATCCCCATGGGGCAGATCTGTGGCCTTTTGCTGTCTCAAGCTATTCAGTATCTTTTCTCCTTCCTAGCTTCTGTTCATCCTCTCCAGTCCACTGATTAGGAGAAGGAGCAGATTCCTTCTTGTTTGTTGAATCCCATCTCTTCTTCCCACTCTAGTTCTTTCTGTCTGCCTCTGGGTCTGTACCTGGTCTCTGCTCTCGAAGTTTTAGCTTCCCTCTTTTTTTCTCTTTGTCACTGACAGCTCTTGTTTGTTTCTGCCTGTCTCCTTTGGTTATTTTCTTGGTACGTGTCGTTCCCTCTTTTGAAGGGATCTCTAAAACCTTCCAGTCAGATCAGGAGAAAAGTGGTGGCTACGAGTTTGTTCTTTAGATGTTGAACTAGCTCAGTAAAGGGCATCAAGAGATCTCTGCAGACCTGACCCTGCACTTCTATGAGCAGAAAGGGTCTGAGTTTGTTCATTCCAAATTATTCTTTTCTCCACCCCTACCCTAAGGGTGAATGGATTGAAGGTCATGTTACTGACCTGTTTAATTGGAGGTCAGATTATTCTCTCTCCTCCAGGACCTTTTCTACTCCTGCACTCATGTTGTCCTACTTCAGTAAGGTTCAATCTACTGAAACTGGCCATGTGATCAGTGTCTGGAGTATGCTGCAAGTGGGATATTCCTGCTGAAATGAAAGCATTTGCAATATAATAAGTAATTATGTACTGAATGATATATGTATGTATGTATGTATACAGTGCCTACTGTATTTTCAATTTTAAGGCTCTGCCACCAGCCCTGTTGTCTCCTGCTATGGCAGTCCTTCAACAACAAGTTGAAGGACTGCTCACTCCTCTCTCACAGGCCCCAGTTCTGTGTGGGCAGACAAATCCCCCCCAATGCTCTGCTATGCAGGGGATACATGCCAATTCTCTTATCACAGATGCTATGTATGTATCCTGCAGCTAACAAGAACATTCAATTCAACAACCCAAAAGTTTTCTTTCATTTATACAACTGCTTGGTATTTCTGTTACTTCTCATGACCACTAAGAATAGTACTTTTTAAAAATTGTGTTCACTTTCTCTTCTGAATTGCTAAGATAGAAAAAAAAATGTTCTATAATAATGTGTTACTATTTGTGTTTGGAAACTGCCTGGGACTGGTGTATATGTTAAAAGCAGGATAGCATCTGTAGAGACATATTGCTCAATGTTGCAATTACATTAATCTAGTGAATCATTAGCCTTGTTGATGCATTTCAGAGTTGCAGAGCAGAACCAATGGATTCATGAATGTTATGTGTTCTCACAAGGAGGCTAAAAACCATTTACCACTCTCTAATTATAAAAGTAGTGATGCAGTGTAACCATGCATTAGCATGAACTGCTTTTTTTCTTTTTTTTTTTCTTTTTTCTTTTTTTTTCTTTTATTTTTTTCCCCTCTCTCTCATTACTTTTGCTTCAAAACTAGTCTGATACTGAAAGGTTTCTGTGTTTTGGTAGACAAATAAGAAACAGAAGTGTGAGTGATTGATTTTGTATTTATGTAGCATATGGATAATATTCTTTTTTCTCTCTCTTCTTAAATTCTTTTGTGTATTATAGGAATTCCAGTAGAAAATATTCCTGCCCATAGAAGAGGAGTTGGAGACAGATGATTTTAAGGTCTTTCTCAACTCAAACATTTTAATGTTTCTATGATTCTATGATTTATAAAAGAAAAAAAAACCAACAATGAAGAAATGTAAAATAGCTTTTCTTGTATGTACAGCCTTTAAAACTGATGGGGTTCAATGTAGAAAAGAAGTGCAAATTATCAACGTTTTTCAGGGGATTTTTTCTCATTTTTCCATAAGTTACCACCAGCTTTTTAGCTGAAATTTAGAGGTTCAAATGCTAGAAAAATCAATTTGAAAAAAATATCAGATAAAATGATTAAACAATTCTAAAGAAATAGTATCAGTGCAGTATGAAGTAACCCCTCCCAAAAGCATACCGTAACTCATTCTTCTTAAGATTTATTGATGATTCTGTTTCTATTTATATGGCATTGCCATTATACTGTGCTTCCAGAAATTTATCTGCTGCCTTGCTAGCCTGCCATCCAATTATTATTTAAATTTCTTCACTGTCTCTTGTTGTTTTGCCTCAGTTATCTCTCTATTTTGTCTTCATTTTATACTGAAGTAAATGTTCGCTTTCTATTTTCCCTTACTGCCTTTCAAAAGGTTTTAAAAATATGATCAGACTCCTACAGACTTGCTAAAACAAACACAAGTACCCCATAATTGACTTTTCGCAGTTCTTTACCATTGTTTGAAATCTAAGAGTCCATGCCATAGTAAGCTGTGCAGTTTCCATGTGTCCTTCCCTGGACACCAGTCAAAGCATACCTGAGTGTGGGCAGAATACGCTTGTGTCTTCTGTCAGCAAACATGTTCTGGTTTTATCAAGGGGTGGATGTCAAGGCTGTTCTTTTATTTATTAGGTAGCATGATCTTAAATGGGAATAAAACTTAAAGCACTGGAAACATGCCACTGTACTGTTCTCAGAGCTTGTCGAGAGATTACTGCTTACTCTTCTAAGGAGTATTACATTAAAGCCAACTTGATTAGTCATACCAAATGCTTCCCCAGAGGCATTTAGAAATGTAAAATATGGAGCACATTTGGGACTCACGAGGCCTCCCTGATACTTTTGCCATTGTGGCAAGTCATTATGAAGAGTTTTTTTATATTTTATGATGAATAATGATAATCTGAAAGGGTTCTGTTGCTTACAAAGCAAAAATAGATTTTTATTGAATGAACTATGTGCAAAGAAGCTTCTACATTTCATTCTCTTTGCATAGAGTTATTATGAGAAGGTATGACAGAAGATTCACAGGCATCATCTTATTGAGGAAAAAACAAGACACTCTTGGAAATTAGTATTTATTTGTCTATTTGTGTCTGCCCAGATGATAGAGTCGAAGTCACTGTGCTCATTTTTTCCTCTTTAAGATAAGTCTGGGTCCTGGTGCTAATTGGTGCTCTCCTTTTGTCCCAAAGATTTGCACACAGATGGGGAGACCAGCAGTACTTGGACTGAATGCAGTAGAGTGCCATATACAATAACTCAGAAACTAGTTAAGTTTCTCCACCATATGTCCATGCACCTGAAGTTTGACAGTACATGGAGCAGACTCTCAAGCTGTGTCTCAGTGGCAACCTTAGTACAACGATATGCTGCTCTGCTCCATTAATCATCCTTGCTAGGAGGAGGGAATTATCACATGTCACGTGTAACTGAGCCTAGATTGCTGCTGGGCCTGAGCTAGTGTAGGAGCACAGTGTTGTTCTCTGGTATGTAAGTATTCCACCTGACTCCCCATTAGTTCACTTGATTTTTTCAGCTCACTGTCTTTTACAGTGCAGACATACTTGGAACAACAGTTGAGAAACCTGGATTCATTCATGTCCCAGTAATGGACAGTGGCTGTGACAAGAATATGTGCTTCCCCTTCAGGACAAGCATGATGTGCTCATAAGCAATAAGCAACAGGGATAAGTTATAGTTTCCACTTCATTTTACCTTCATTCCTCTTAACCATCTTAGAAAGCCCTTCTAGATAAATTTTCTGGACATTAATCACTGCAGAATAAAGCCAGAAAGCAAATGTCCTTGCTACTGAAAAACATCAAGTAATTGTTTAGACATAATCTAAAAGTAACATCAGTTCCTCTTCACCTTTTCTCTGCCTTCTTTTTTGTTTCCAGAAAAAAGGACTTATTCTCCAAACTGGGTAACTATGCATTTGTTCCAAGAATTGAGAATTGGTGATTTCTATGCATATACATGAAAGTAAAACACTATTCTGGGATTGTTTTAGCTTCTGGTGAGGGTGTGAGTTCACAACCTCTGGCATTTCTGTTATGAAATCCTTTAAAATAAGCAAAAAAAAAAAAAAAATCTGACTTCTATATGAATAATTCTCTCAAATCCCAATGACATTGACCATTCATTTAATCCCAATCAGAATCTTTTGTCTGCTTTTCTTGTGGGAAGTCCGAAACCTTTGATTCCTCTTGCAGCCTTGCCAGAAATAACTACAGAAGTGACATGTGCTATACAGACCTGAGGTTTGTGACACTGGAAAGAATTACAGATCAAGGATGTCCAGACTGCCAGAGCAAAAGGTAGCAGTGGTGGCTGGGGGCAGTTGTGCACATGGAAAACTTTCACTGTGGAAAACAATTTTTACATGGCACTCAGAAGAGATTGTCACCTACATATTTCAGGTCAGATTCTGGGATCCCTTTGGATTCAAAACTTCAAAGAAATTGGAGGGACAGAGAAAAGGAAGGAGATTAAAAAGAATGGATGTTTGAAGAAATTGGAAAAACTGTTCAGATATGAGAGATAATTAAGACTGTGGGAGGCAGTTAAGTAAAAATGAACGTGTTCACACTGCTTATTAAGTGATATCTCTTGCAAGTGATTTACCTAAGGGACCTTGTAAAGTTTTTTTCACTTTGTTCATTTTAATCTGACTAACTGAAGTAAATGCTAAAGAAAGAAACAGCTTACCCCTCAAGAAGGAATGGATAGACAAATAAGTTTGGGTGCTTAAAAGTCATAAATAGTATGCTGTGTAGCTCACAGAGGATACAAAGGAAGGTAGGAATGTGGCTAATCCCATGTCTGTATTCTGTACTTTACACACAAGTGTAAAGAGTTGATTTAGAATTGTTGTGTATGAAGTATAACAGGAAGAAAGTGAGATTTTACGTCCATCCTGAATAACCAGATGAATTTATTAGGCTAGCAGACTGAAGGGCAGATTGAAGTAAATTTTCCTTTATTGACTATTCTACTCAGCGATCTTCTCATTTTCGCTTCTGAGTGATCCTTGTATTTTGTACTTGAAGGCTGAAACTGAAATCCCAGTAGGGCTCTTGTCATCTGTTAGGTAAGAGGGTTACAGGACATAGGAGATATAAGGCAGAAGTGCCACAGGTGAGTATCCCATCTATGTCTGTTAGTGATTTAAACATAATGTAAGCAATTGTCACTGAAGGGTTGTGCTGGAGTCTAGTAAAAGAATACAAAAGTCATAAATTGGAATAAGCTCTTTTCTCTCTGTTCTGGGACTCTGCACTCATTTAAGTTCTCTGCGTTTGCCCACTCTACAAGAATGGTGTGTGTGTTTCCATGTATAGGACTGTGTTTATTTGCAACTGAAGGTATATAGTTTTGCTCCCATCTATGCCCTAATTTCAGATTTTTTTTTTTTTTTGTAGGGACCTCAGTGGTGAGTATTTCTGAAGTTATTTTCTGGAGTAGAAAATCAACTCCTAGTTTGGCAGGTTAGGCATTCAAAAGCTAAAATACACCAATACCCAGCTGTGTATTAACATTTTAACCATCTTTTGAACATAAATACTTTCTTGATGGTATCTTCACATGTGTAAAAT